TGTGGGGAATTTTCAGAAGAGGAGCTGCTGGAAGAACTAGAGGAACTTGAACTTGAACTAGAGGAACCTGAACTTGAACTAGGGGAACTTGAACTTGAACTAGAGGAACTTGAACTTGAACTCGAGGAACTCCAGGAACTTGACTAGCTTATTACAATTTTTTTTGTTGGAGAAGTTTTTGGGGGGGATTTTTTTTTCTTCGGAGGAGGTGAATTATCAGAACTCGTGGTACTGATAATTGACTTTGAAGGAGATGGGTTTTCGTTGTCTAATTTTTGGTCGTGATTTACGAGTATTCGTCGCGTCCGTATTTTTGTCTGTCTGTTTTATATTTTTTTTTTAATGATTGTATTGTGGAATAGTGAACAAGTTTCTGTTCTTTATCTGTTGTTGTCGCTTCAGTCTTATTTATATGTTTGTTTGATATAACGTGCGTCTTCACGTCACTTATTATTTTTGGTAATGTTTTTTTTATCATTTTTTTGTCATTAGTCTTCTATTTTTGTCCGCCCTTTTTCGGTATCGTCACCTGTTTTTTTATAGAGTTTTTAGACGCTACATACTTATATGAGTTATTATCCTTTAATTTGTCATCCTTCTTTTTGGGTACGCGTGGCAAGGACTCAATTTTATTATTTGGACGGTAAATGTCCAAATGGTCTACCACGTCCGGCTGCTGTTTCTGAAAAATAGTATTTTTTCATTATATATTCATTTAAATTACGTAAATAAAATAGAAGATACGAGGATAAAAAATAAGTACCTCTGCACTTAGATCTGCAACTTTATTAGATTTTTTTCCAGATTTTTTTCCATTTTGCCGTTTCCATTCCACGTACTATTTCTTCTGATTATACTATAAAAAATAAATAAGTAAAAATGATTAACTTTAGAGATTAAAAAAAAATTAACGTTAGAAATTAAAATTGCGTTACGCTCATGATAAGGGCGCGCTGCCGCAAGTGCGATACTTGAATGTGGAACTTGAGTTGCATTCTGTCGATCATTAAAAATTGTCGCGCGCGAGGCCATGCTCTCAATATCCGCACCGACGTTGTCGCTAGCGGTAGCATTGACAACAATCACGACTACGATAATAACCTCGATTGCGGCAAGCATTTTTATTATTGTACCATCAAAGAACGACAAGCCTACAACGTATTGTACTCGATAGTCAACTGTCTCTACTCTATATATCGCCAACAGGTACAACAATAACAACCATCGCAACAATAGCGGTAAAAACAACAACAACAACTTGATATTTGAAGATAGCGACGACGAAAACGATAGCGTGCTGCCACAACCACCAATTTTTAACAACAATCACGTTAATAAAAATTTCAACAATAAAAGATTACGCAGCGAAAATTAAAGGCTACAACAACGTCGGTAACAACGATGACGACAACGACGACAACAACGATAGCAACGTTACCAAAGTTTCAAAAACCGATGCAGATTCAGATATTATGAGCAACATCAAGCGTCAACTTGAAAAGAAGCAGCAGCAGCAACAACAATTCAACAAAACGTCGTCAAATCGGCAAAGCGAATATAACGAGTATGGTAATAATAATAATGATGACAACGACAACAAAAACAAGGACGACGTCAATTGTGCACGGAAATCGAAGAGATAAACTTTAGCACGAGCAACAATTGCTGGGACAAGATTAAATTTTTGGGCGAGTTGCAGAGTAAAAAACTTACCCTCGACAATGCCATTATGAAGGAGTGCAACAACAAGACGCCTATCGATTTACTGGACGCGATGATGTTCGATCCCGACGAGGAGATCAACAATTCCGACGAGTACGTCAACAAGGAAAAGCGAATTGTCGTCTACGCCATTTGTTCGATTTTGAAGCAAGAGTGCCAGCTGAGCAATAACTTTGTCTACCTCAACATGGCCACGATAGGCAGCAATTTGTCGTTCTACGGCAAAAACAAGTGCTACAACTTTAAAATTGACCTCAACGCCAACATTCCGAAAAAAATGAAATCGTTCGCCAACACCCAGGTAATCTTTCACGATAACGGTGGCAAATTTTCGTTGCAATCCTTCACCATCTCGTCCAAGGGCATCACCTTTGATGTGTATCGCTACATCAGCAACAATAGCATCTCGATTCGCGTTGACGGCGACGACGAGAGAAACGTCGTTTTCAAGAGCAACTTTACCGTCTCCAATGGCAACGGTCTCGGCATCACGCTGTTTTTTATCTACAACGACAACGCCGCCGAGACGACCGTGGTACGCCCCAACTCGGATACCTTTTTTAAGAATTACAACGCGCTCAAGTCGTTTCTCAAATTTTCTAAGATTCAATATGAAAACGACTCGTACTACCTGACGATAAATTCAATCTGTTGCGTCGTACAAAAAAAAATAACAATGCTAGAATTTAATAACATGTAATCTCTCTAAATGTATCTTCGATGTAATAATAAAGTATGATGAAATTGAACGTAAACGTGCTTGATTTCTTGCATTTGCGTTTTATATTTATTCGTAAATTACACATTTTACTCGCCAATTGTAAACTATCGATATATATGATTGTTAGTAACAACAACAACAACGTTGGCTTTTACACCAATGCCATTGGTAACGATAGTAGAAACCATCATCACCACTACAATCATCATCGTCGTTATCGTAACGAAGACGACTATGGTACAAATTATGTATTGAAATACGATACAATGACGAGCGGGCAATTGATGCGATGCAACGTAAATTTATTTTCGCTATATTTGACTATTGTGGACGAGGCCACGACGATGGTTATCGAATCACCGCCACCGTTGTCGACTCGATTGTCGAATCAACATCATCATCAGCGTCGATATCAGCAGCAACAGCCACGGGGAAAGATAATGTCGATTGATTTCAACAACATTCACTCGATTATCGATGTAATCAACGACTTGGCCACGCTGGGCATGTGCCAACTTTAAAAAAAATTTTTTTTAAATGCGTCAACATAACCATTGCCTTTTTTCATTCTTGATGCTATAGCTCGTTTTTTGCGTCAAATTATATTTTTTTTTATTAACGCCAGCAAAAGAAATTGTAAATTTAGCAAAATGAACACCTAGTAGCAACGAGCTACTCTTGCAAGAGAGTTGGTTGTTGCCAGAGATGTTGCTTGCTCGAAAGCTAAAGAGTGAATGATAATACCCACCCACATATAATAATTACTTTTATATAGGCTTTTCTTGCCTCTCCCACTCTTACTTTGTCTTTTAGTGATCTCTTGCGAGCAAACGAAACCATCGCCGAGTTTCGTTTTCGGGCAGAGAGGTCGCGACTCGCCGTTTTGGCGAGTAAAAATTTTGCGCGATTGAGGCACGCATACGCACTAGAGCTGCGTCTTTTTTTTATTGTCGGTTTTTGCATGTTTAATGTTACTAGCGATGATGGCGCTGTTGATGATGCCAAGTTTATTACAAAAAAAATAAAAAAAATTTACTAAACAAAAAAACTTTATCGCAACGTACAACCCATCCAAAATGGAAAAAGATAAAATTATCATTTTTTTTTCCTTTAAACTTGTATGGCTTTAAGAGGCGTCAAATCATACGCATGATTGAGATTCCACACGGTATTGTACATTTTCCACAGCGCCACGTAATTTTGTAGCACGCGTCTACTATTAGCTCGCGATGAACGAAGAACTGTTGTCGCACGGAATTCTGCATGACGCCACCATTCCTTCTTTTCCTTTTTGAAACAATCGTTGAATGAATGAATTTCCAGTTTTACCACCATCGATCCACGTTTCTCTTCCGACTTGTAATGAATGAATTTCTCTCCCGCCTTGAGCGAGATAGTAGACCAAATTGACTCAGTGGTTTCCGTCATAGAGGCTCGTTGCGTATCTTCGTCTATTTCATCGAGTAATTGACTTTCTGCACTCAAGACTTTTTTCGCTATCGATGCTTTCGGAGTCACTACTACTTCTGTCTCGCTCTCCTCGTCTTCTAGAGTTATTTCGATTTTTTCTGTCTCTAATTTTTCTTCGTCTTCTAAAGATATCATAGATTTCTTCTTCATAATCCTTTTCCGCTTCCTGTCGTAATTGCTGTAATCCGAATGTTGATCGTCGCTGTTTTCCGAGGTTCTCTCCAACTCGTCGTCCGATTGAAATGGCACTTTTTGTTTTTTCAAAATTTGTTGTTTGGTCTAGACTTCATCGTCTTCTAAATGATGAGCAGAAGTTAACGTAGAAACGTCGATCGTGACAACTGATTGTTCAAGTCGTACGGGAAATATGCTCTTTCTTAACTAACAAATCTCGTCCAAATTGGAGGCGGGCGAGAGCTCTCTCACTTAATGCCGGTTACGGTCTATTCATGGTTATCGGCTTGATATCTCTCTCTCTCTCTCTCACCCTTTCATTCTGCCACTAAATGTCGCTTGCTTTCTTTGTTGCACTTTTCGGGCCGACTTGGCCATTCCTCGACAGTTATCCGCGCTGAAACAAAAGACATTGTTAGACTCATTCTTATTGTATACCTAACGGTGGTCAGTAAACTTTGCCAAGAGCATAAAGGAGAGAGATACCGAGAAGCAGACTTACTGCCTGCTCTAGTCACAATTGTTTATTGTTGTGATGACGTCATAACTGTTAGCTCCCACTCTAAAATTACTGACAAGTATAAAATGACAATCTTTAGTTATAACCAAAAGAATTTACCAATGATAAAAATATATACTCCTAAATATTTTTTATTTCATATTATTACGAATTTTGAATAGTTTTGTGGATTGACCAATATGTAAAATGTAGAATGTTTCTCTTTTGTTAGTTGATGAATTGCTGTGAATGTAGTCTAATTTGACAGCAATATACGTTACGTTACCTAATCGATTTGAACATTTCTAATAAAATATAGAGCAGATATCTTTTGTAATCTAATATTGTTACAAAGTGTCTTCATCGATTTGAATTTATTTCCGTATTTTCGTCTGAAAATTACTGTTTTTCTAGGAGCTATTTGGAGTAAACAGCAAATAAATTTTGATTGGTGGGAGATTGACTTAGTTTTTCGTATAACTGGAAGAGGAAGAGTTGGAGCAGATGGTTTAGCTTTCTGGTACACAACTACAAAAGGACTAGCTAACGGTACAGTTTTTGGAAGCTCTGATCGGTGGAATGGACTTGGAATTTTTTTTGACTCATTCGACAATGATAATAAGCATAATAATCCTTATATCATGGCAGTTCTGAATGATGGGACAGAATTATTCGATCATACCAAGTAAGGATGAATTAATATAAAATAATACAAATGAAGAATTTAATTCAGTTTTATTTTATATCTTTACTTTATAAAAATCAGCATATGGTTAATTATAGAAAAATCTGAATTAGAAATCCAGACTATAAAATAATAATTACATGAATTCCACGAAATTTTAAACTTATTATTACTTAGAAAAATACTGATATTCTTCCAATACAAGAGAAAAATTTCTTCCCTAAATTTAGTTATTTATTCGATCAGTAAATAGTATGATCGAAATATCACTATTGTATCCGTCCGATATAGAATTTTTAATTTCATGTGACTTAAAAATAATATATTATTTTGTTAAATGTGTGACGTCGGGGTTACTATCTCAGGTACGTCTTAGGCGGACGTAATCTCAGGCGCTCTATTTGGTTTGCGTGCGTACGCTTAAACCGGGACGAGCGATTGGAGAATTAGAGCTTTTCTACTTCGCGTTTCGCGTAAAAATAGTGAAAAATAAACTGGACTACAAGCCTTCCATCAAACACCAGGGTCCAATGGAATCGGGACTTGGATGTGAAAATCCCAAACCTTGCCGGAATTATCACATAAAAAGTATTTTAATTTTTATTTAACGGCGCGACTGTCTTATTGAAAAAGTATCCCAATTCCTGCTGAAATACTTTTTCGAAGACCTATTTCTCACGAGTTTCGATCAGCTACTCTAACAAGAAGAGGAAAAGGAGAGATAGTGAATAAAATTTTGTTTCAACTTACTTTTCTTTTATTTAATTTACTGGTACTGAGAGAAGTCAATCTGGACCTGGCACTTGGTCAATGAGATGCACTTAGAGCCTTGCGAGGAGCGTGAGAGCGCGATTTTCGCTTGCGCACGCCCTTTTAAACCCTGGGGGTGGTTGGGAGGAAAATCCCTCTTTCAGTCCCTCAAAATTTGGGAAGAGTGGAAATGCCAGTGAATTCTAATTGGCCAACCGAGATTTTCCCTCATTTTCTCTTTCGGATTTCGGGCCCTAATTGGTTCGGGGGCGTGGTGAGAATTGGGGGCGCGCGTTCAAGAGTTTGGGCCTTATCCCGCTAGATGACTCTCCAAGTACCATTTTTATTACAGTTTCTCTTATAATTATTAATTTATTTACTATATAAAATTATTACAATTAATTCTTAAAAATAACGCAAGTTCCTTATTATTTAACATATTTTACGCGAAAATCTTTTGATCCTACATGTTTACAATTAGTAACTTAATTAATTAACTCACTTCGTTGTTTAAATAAATTGGAACGAAAAAAGGGTATTATTTAATTGTGGACTATATAACTGATTTGCTAAAATTCGTTCAAGTAACTGTTTTCGACTATTTACCTCATTTTTCTAATTTGTAATTTTAAAACTTTGAGTTATTTTCAATGATTGCGCGGCAACTATGTTTCTAATCAAAAAGTGTGTGGGAGGTTTCAAGAAGCTGCGAAATTTTCCTATCATGCTGTTATTTTCCCGATTCATTTATGTAAAATTAGTTATTAAGGTTTTTTTTTATATAGCAAAAGTTTTGGCTTCTAAAAGTGGAAATCTTTTGGGTGAAATCAAATAACAGGATGCAGGTGGAATTCCGCGGCTCCTTTACTCTTTATCTAAACCTACTCAAAAAAAACTTTACGATCGTTCCAGGTAAACATCGGAAAGCGCGCGATAAAGGGACGACTATTTTCACGTGTCCTCCAGCTGCTTCAGCTGAAGGCTCTCCTTTGCTAGTTTACCGAGTTAAAATTTAAGCTACACAAAAGTACATGAGGGAAAAAAAAATAATTTATTGCTAATAAACGGCCCGACGTTACAAATGAATAATTTTGATAATTGAAATTTTTGTTGTATATTTCTATATTTGAGTATTAAAAAGTACCTCTAGGGTTTGTGACTTTTTTAGTCGTTCTTTGAAAAGTATTATTCAATAATGTCATTACCGTAACCAAAGATGTTTTCCCTCTACAATATTTTAGAAAGTTCCGTTAAATAATATATTATTGAATTTTCTAATTACATAATCAAAAATTATCCATATAATTTCTGAATATTTTTAAAAATAATCAATTTTGAAATTTTATTATAGTAAAAATTTTTTAATCTTTTTTATAGTAATCCATATGACCGTAAGGATAAAAATATGATTTTTCTTTCACCTCTTCACTCGCTTTCTCTTACTACTTCTCGATAGCTCTCAGCTACGTTGAGGCTGACGTAGTCTCAAGTGCCTTCGTTTGCTTTGTGCTCGTTCCGCCTAAACTGGAACAGGCAATATGTGAATTCGAAAGCTTCAGTCACAAAAAGAGATAAGTTTCTACTCTAACCAGGTGTACTGCGTCATACAATGAATCTACAGATCACACGTGGACTTATTGCGCTAATTGCGCTTAGCTTTCCAAATAAAAGAAAAAAAGAAAGATACTCTGTCTTATAGAGTAGTAGCCAGACCTTGTAACCACTACTCGAAGAACTAAATTTTTCAGAAAAAATTTGCACTTTATGAAGAAGAATAGAAGAGAAAAGAAGTAGAAAATTAGTTAATTTATTTGTTATTCACTTTTTATTTCCGAATTATGATTTTGATCAACAGGTTCATTTCTTATGCTTGCTCTGATTGGTCGTCAACAAGATAGAGCCCGCGCGAAGGCTTAAATAACCCTTGAGGATAGTTGGGTGGAAAATCCCTCTTCGCAACCTCAATCTCAAAGAAAGTGAAGTTAGCGGCAAAGGTTTCATTATCCACAAAATTTTTTTTCAATTTTCTTGTTTTTTTTCACATCCTAATTAGTGCGGGACGATGAGACTTTTGTCAAGTTCCCATCCACAATGATTTAAGAAATATAATTTTTAAGGCCTGTTTAAGATTATCTTAATAAATAACGAATTAGAGGGAATTGTTTAATTACTATAAACAAGACGAAATTCTATGAATCCCTAAAATTATTTTACATATTGTAACGAGATGATCGCTGTTTCTTGTATCCGCGATATAACTTTTGCACTTTGCATCAACTGGGCTAACGGGTGTTCTCCTTCTTCTTCGTATGCTGTATATTCCGCGCATATGGATGTGATCAGCTCTGAGCGTAGGGCTGCCCTTCTTGCTAGGTTACTGTGTTGGTTGTCAACTTCGACGAAATCTACTGCAGAGTAGTCGCCCAGCAATCACTTTTGTAATCGCCCGGCTCTAGAGAGCTTATTTCCGTTTTTCTTGAGCTCCAAGTGTTCGAGATACTCGTTTATTTCTTCGTCTTGGAGCGTCAATAGCCAGTCTTCAATTTCTTTATGAGTGCAGTCCATTGTACTTTATTTATTATATCGCGTTTTGTTTATTATTGCTGTGGTTAATTTTCTTTACAAATTACACGCTTCCTTGAAGGACAATGCGAGTGCGAGTGCTATATTCGATGTTTCATAAACAAAAAAATTTCGATTTTCCTAGTCGACGAAAGGCTCAACAAAGGTTATTTAGTATTGCTCTAGCCGAAAAACTCTTTGCTCGCTATTGCGCAATATAATAATCCTGCCTATCAGACGCACTAACTGTTTGTTAGCGCGGCTGTGTTGGTTAGTATCTAAATTAATATAGCGAGCATTTCTCTTCGTAATCACCAATAATCACAGTTAGCAATACTCGAAAAATATATCTACGTTATGACAAAAACGCAACGAAAGAAAACTTTTGATTTGAGTTTATTTTGTTTTGAATGTTGCCGGTGTTAGTATTTTTCCCGGGCCAACGGGTACAATATTGTTGATCTTCGACAACTTTCAAAACTTGTTGGTGTTTACGAGGTGATTCGCTAAGAGTCGTTCGATCGCACTCGCACGCTCTTACAACGAATGTTTACAAATTATCGTCGCGACGGGACTTCGCAAGTTAAATTTTAGAGAAGCGATGTTTACTATGTGGTATTCGCTCAAAGTGTACACAACAACACTTTGATTGCCACCTGAGTCGCTGGTTGACTGAGCGCAAGGTCAATGTTTAGAACCGGCGTTTTAAACAGTCACAAACGCTGTAGGTTCTTTTACGTTGGGCGCCATGTAACGGGGTGATCACTCCGTTTTTATTCCTTAATTCATTCGACGTGAAATCATGTCGGAATGCGTGCGGTGACATCAAAATATTCGAATTTATTAATCGAAGAGCAGGAGGGGACGGGTGTCAGTCAACCAATTTACTACTATCTAGAAATAACAACAGTGAAATTATCGTTTGACTCACATGCGAGTTAGTTTATTATTCTATGCTCTACAAAATACTTGGCCCGTGTGTTTATGTTTACGTTGCGCGCGCGCGACAATAACATGCATCGCCGGATTGTTCGCAGCTCTTTGTTCAAGTTAGCTTACATGCACGCTACCGATTCCTACAGAGTACGAAGGATTAGTAATTAGTTCCGCGCAGTCATATGTAAACAAAGTCTCGATATTAAGCTGGCCAGCTTACCTTTGTATCGGTCGCACTATTAGAGGGGGAAGGAGACTAGTTCGTTTATCAGTCCTTTTGAAGGAGGCGATTCACACTCGGTTTCGCCCTCAATGGCGAAACTTTGTACCCACACACTCGCACATACTCATAACGGTAGCGACGGAAGTACAACTATCGGTTATTGTCTGGATAACTCAGCTGGTTCGCTTCTGCACTCTCGGAAAAACTCGGAAAAACTTGTATTGTTATTATCTGCGGCTGGATGCTCGGATTACTAGTCCTCGACTGGTTCTTTCATATTCGCGCGCGTTCCGTCCCATCTCATACCGAGTTCCCTTTTTCTATTTTCCCCAAGCGGTAGGTGCTACCCTCGCAGGTAGCCGCGTGATTGAGACGGTAGCGCTAACATGACATTTACCGTCACAATATATCAATTTTAAAGTCAAAGCCGTATCGAAACTTGTAATTATTTTATTATGTCGACTTATTATCATATTATTTAGCTATACTTGTATTTATTGAATTAAAATTTTTTAATTATATCATTTTG